GCCCACCACTTTCAGAACAGCTGATATCAACTGGTTAACTTCATCTTGAGTTAAGTTACTCTGAGTTAAGTTGGAGCAGGAAGCCCTCATCAATGGAAGTCAGATAACACGATTCACCAAGGCAACTGGAGAATGTAAGAAGACTGGAAATCTTTTTCTCTGTGCTGAAACTAGAAATATTAATGATGGCACATGGAGAATATCAACATACATTTAAACTAGATACCACATAGCTGTAACATAATGACACCCGCACGCACAAATGCACCAGAACTCAGAAGTCTTTATTCATAAAGGTCATGCTACTAGATGCATCCCAAAATTGTAGTGGTTTGGGTGGGGGTCTTTTTTTCTTGGGGTGGGGGCATTGGTTGACCTGATGGATAGCCCCTCATCAGAGCTAAACAACCAAAAAAAAAAAAAATCTGAAGCTCCAAATAGTTTGGGAGCAATAACCATTGTTGTATGTCCAGATACCCCTTTTTCAGATAAATTGGGGGTCCGTGGTGTTTGGGGGGCACTGATTGGTGAGCCTAATGGATAGAGCTTCGTCAGAGCTAAACAGCCAAAAAAAAAAAAAAACTTAAGCTCCTATGTTGAACAGTTTCTGAGTTATAAGCAGTTTTGCATGTCCAGACACCCCTTTTTCAGATAAATTGGGGGTCGGGGGTTGGGGGCACTGATTGGGGGGACTGATGGATAGTCCTTCATCAGCACTAAACAACAAAAGAAATCTGAAGCTCCTATGCTGAGCAGTTATAAGCATTTATGTATGTCCAGATACCCCCTTTTCAGATAAATTGGGGGTCCAGGCGGATGGGGGCACTGATTGGTGGGCCTGATGGATAGTGCTTCATCAGAGCTAAACAAACAAACAAACAAACAAACAAACAAACAAACAAACAAACAAAAAAACAATCTGAAGCTCCTATGTTTAATGGTTTTTGAGCAATAAGCCTTTTTGAATGTCCAGATACCCCTTTTTCAGATAAACTGAGGGTCCGCGGGGTCCACTGATTGGTGGGCCTGATGGATAGAGCTTCATCAGAGCTAAACAAAAAAATCTGAAGCTCCTATGTTTAATAGTTTTTGAATAATAATAATAATAATGCATTAGTTTTATATAGCGCTTTTCGAGACCCTCAAAGACGCTTTACAATTTTTCATGCATCATTCATTCACACTCACATTCACACACTGATGGCAGTAAGCTACATTGTAGCCACTGCTGCCCTGGGGCAGACTGACAGAGGCGGGGCTGCCATGCTGTGCCACCGGCCCCTCTGACCACCATCAGTAGGCAAGGTGGGTGAAGTGTCTTGCCCAAGGACACAACGGCATGTAGGCATGGCGGGGAGTCGAACCTGTGACTTGCGGGTCCCAAAGCCGGCTGCTCTACCACTACACCACAGCCGCCCCAATTTTGAGCAATAACCCTTTCATCTCTAAATTTCTTTGGAATAATAAAACCCCGCGTATTAGCCTAAAAACACTACAGAAAACTAAAGATACAGGAGAGCTGGAGCTTCCCAACTTTTATCAATATTTTTTAGCGAATAGGCTACAATACATTTTAAAGTGGTTAAATCCTAACCCACTGGATGAATCTTGGCTAGATTTAGAACAAACTTTATGCCATAACATCAAGATTTCAGATCTTCCATTTATTAGTACTAACATAAAAAAACATGAGTGCTTTAAATGCGTCAATATCAGCTCAACTCTGGCAGCATGGTGGGAATTTTTGAAAATGTCAAAATCTTCAGTAATTCCATGCAGACATCCACCGATCTGGAACAAATATTTGAAGGAGTAGACTTTATTCCATTTAAAGAATTAATAATACAATATGGCATTG